GCATTTGAAAACAAGAACAGAATTGCCTGATACTTGAACTCTTCCACATGAGGCAAAGCCTCCCCACCAAACCAGAGGGGGCATTCCATTGGCTTCCAGTCGACAACCATGGCCTCAGACTTAGAAAAATTGACTCTCATTTTTCTGCTTCACACTTGGTTGTGAACCACCGCAGTGGATGCTGAATGCCTTGGCTTGGCCCAAAAACATTAGCAGAACCACATCATCTGTGCAAAGCAGAGATGAGCTCCTGCCGTTCCCAATCTCTGGTTTGGGAACACTCCTCTCCCCATCTGCATGTCAAGCTCCTGTCCATGAGCACTACAAACAGAATCAGAGACAAGAGACAGCCCTGGCGGAGCCCAACCTGCAATGGGAGCTCGACTTTGTGCCTAGAATGTTGAGAAAGCTGCTGCTTTGGTTATACAATGACCGGAAAACAATTAAATGCAACACAGGTAACCCCCTCATAATGTCTCAAGGAATACAGTAATCAGTGCAATAGTTTAGTTAGATCAGTCATTTCTGAAATAGAAGATTGGAAATTAAAGATTTCTTTGTTTGTTGTTCAAACACTTGCATGCATTATGTTTCCAGATGCTGATTCTTGAGATCTCCTTGGTTTTGTTTTAAGGATGGTGGCTGGCAAAGCGGAGACCACGATGCCAGGCAGACTCTATGTACATCCCGATTCCCCTGCAACTGGAGCTCATTGGATGAGGCAGCTGGTGTCATTTCAGAAGCTAAAGCTCACAAACAATCATCTGGACTGTTTTGGTCATGTGAGTACAGTCATCTTTCACTGCAGGAAGGTGGACAATAATATTTATGCCAGTGTCTCTGTGTGTGACATTTGACAAATTTTAATAAGTTCAGAAATGAACAATTTCATGTACATCTACAAGTGACTGACTTTTAGTCACCAGAAAGTAAGATGGCTGTCAAAGCTAACACATTTTATCCCATTTTAGAACACAAAAGGCAGCTACTGTTGCAGATATTGAGCTGAAACTTACTGTGATGGTAGCTGAGCATTGTCCTCAACAGATACTTTGAGCAGAATAAATTGCACAATATTTTTGCCTAAACTGTTGGAGCCAACCCTGTTGGTTTGTTAGCAAAATATCCCAAAAAATAGAGTTGAATGAAAATAATTAGTGGCTGTACCTCGACAAGTAATTAACTTTTAGAGGCAATCCAATTCAAGATGACACAAATGTGGTCATACCATGTTGGTGTGGTAGTAGCCAACAGTCATTCACAACACATATTCCAAACACTAACAGACCATACAACATATTGCAATATTGCATGAGATCATGCATCGTTCCATGTTCAATGTAAGACCAAAATAGTTATAACTTCCTCATTTCTCAACCAAAGATATTCTAAAATATTACACTTCACAACTTTCACACATCTTTCACTTGGCAACGTTTCTTTCCAGTAATTTAGTCAACATTTTTTTCAAGAATTTACTCAAGTGCATTTCATAAAACAAAATAAAAAATAAAAACATTTACCTGCTTCACTGATTAAAGGCTCACCGTTATATACTGCTGACAATGCTAACTCACTGTCAGAGTTGTAGCAATGACAACAATGCGAGCAACATCTGGGATGCCAGTAAAACAAAACCAATAAAAAATCTAAACTTATAAATCTCTGTTTGGTGTCTCAAGTTTGATTTGCTTCTTCTTTTTAAGAATTATTGATATATTTCTGCAGAAATTACTTGTTACCACCATAACAGACCTCACGTTTGGAGAAATCCTTTTTTTTGTGTGTGTTTCAGCTTTATGCATCACTTTCACTGATGTCTGAGCACGTCTGAAGCTTGCGCTGAAAACCAACACATTGTCTGAAAATCAACAAAAAAGGTTGAATCATGTCATCTGGACTTCGTTTTTCGTTAAAAAGAAACGTTTCGCCCCTCGTCCAAGAGGCTTCGTCAGTCTGAGGCCTAGCCATCTGGTATTACCCAGAAGCCACCCTGACTCTTGTGTTTAAAGCCTGCCTCAGATACCCCTGAGGTCTGGCCTTTTCACTAATGGTTTCAAAAACACAAAG